TGAACGCAGGGGCACCGGCTGCTCAGCGGGGGCTGCCCAGCTGGAGGAGGCAGCAGCACCCAGAACGCATGCCAAGACCCCGGAGCCCGCGCAGAGCAGTCCCACACACGGCGCCTTCTGTCAGCCAGCCCAAGCACCCTCCGCTCTGCAGCAGCACAGCACCGTTTCACTCAGCGGCCGGACCAGGCGGCCAGGCTGGTGATGGAGGAGCCCCCTGCCCAGCGCTGGCAGGGGTCTCCCATGGGAGCTGGCGGGCGTCTCTATCACCCCTCCGGAGGTCGCAGCGCCTGTCCGCTCCCAGCACGAGCTGCCTGGGCCAGGCACCGCTGCACGGCTGCTGCTCCCACCCAGGGCTCCAGAGCCAGGTTCTGAGCCCAGCGTGCGGCCCCCCTGCCCGGCTCTGCCCATCCCACTGCCCAGCAAAAGGTGCTGGTGTGGCTGGTTTCTGCCAAACCCAAACAACTGGCAGCACCCAAGGCCCTTCCTCACCTTCCCAGCTTCCCCACCTCCTGTCCAGCACTGCAGAGCTCCCAGGTACGTTCCCAGCAGCCAGAGACGGACATTCACCCGTTCACCTCCTCCTCCTCGTGTCTCCTGTCCCAGCACACTCTCCCAGCGCACAGCATCAGTGCTTCAGCCACCTCCCACCGGCTGCTCTGGCTCTGACAGCAGCAGGTCCCCAGGTCACCACACTGGCTGGGCTCCTGGGGACCCAGGGTTTGCAGGGTGCCTCTGCCCGGGCACCTCCTGCTCACCAGCACCCCAAGGCTGACACAGCCCTTTGCCCGGGCACCTGCCCCGAGCCGTTCACCGACCCAGCCAAGCCACATCCACAGTAGAGCCCACAGCAGAGCCCTCGCAGGCCCTGCAGCAGTGCGGGACCCGCGCTGTGACACCCTCAGCCAACACCCCCCACTCTGCTGGAAGGGGCAGCCCAGGCCCTTGTCTTGCCACACCATGGGAGAAACCGGGCTGGCAGCAGGGCAGGGCTGGGCGGCTGAAGCGAGTGGGTGAGCAGCCGGGGCCCTGCTCAGCAGTGCTTCTCCCTCGTCAATCCAAACCCTCCTGCTTCCACCTCGAGAGGAGCATCCCCGCCTTGCCCAGGGAAGCTCTGGTTCCCCTCGACTCAGGCAGGTTGACCCACGCCATCTCCCCGGCTCCACCAGCACAGCGGTGAGCCCCCCAGCCAGTCCTTCCCAGGACGCCTCAGACAAGAGCCAGCGCAGATCCCAGCTCCCCTCAGTGCTGCTGGGGGTACAGCAGCTCTCCAACCCCCCCGAAAAGGCTGAGGCAGCACGCGCCACAGAAGGCAGGCAAGGAAGCGAGCAGCTCAGACACAGCTCTCCTGCTTAATCCACGAGGATGAACAGGGACAGCAGTCCTGGGCAGAGCTGCGGACAGTGGGGCGTGGGGCACAGCTCAACCATTACCGCTTCCTGCAACGAAGCAACCACAGCACAGCCCTGGGGGTACCCGAAACACAGGCACCGCTGCAGAACTCGGAGCCCGTTCCAGACTGGCCTTGCCTCCAAACCAGAGCAGATCGCCTGTCCAGACAGAGCGTAGCTGGGGCCAAGCCAGAAATGGGTGTGCTGACGCCTGAAAGGTGAAGGGAGCAGGAAGAAGGAGCGGCGCAGTGCGGCCCAGGGCATTCACAGCTCACAGGTGCCCTGATAGTTCTTTATTGTCCTCTGAGCTGGGTGGCAGCTCAGCCATGTCCAGCGCAGGAAAACTGTCCCTGCACCTGTCCTGGGAGGGAGCACCAGCATCCACAGCGACGCCACAGAGTCACACTCTCAGCCTCTTCTGTTGGTCCCAGCAAAGCCTGGGTCTCGGTCTTCTCTGTCCCTCTGCGTCTCACCAGCACCACCACGTTCGTCCACTACAAAAATCCTGCCTGCTCCCAGCAGCCTGGCGACAGCCCCGGCGTCTTGGCACAAGCACCGTGCACACGACTGGCACATGGGAGACAGGCTCAGCTGAACGTGCACCAAGGCGTCTCGCTTGTGTCACAGTCCAGCAAGATATTGAGGACGGTGCAAGGGGCTCCTGCCACACTCAGAGCTGTCCGTGACTCGATTTGGTACCTCACATTGTTCAGGCCTCCCTCCCGATCCACCTTGAACTGTTCCTGAGGAAGAGAAAGACCATTCAGCCCACGCTGGCTTCCCGTGGAGGGGAAAGCACCCAGTGCCTGGGGAGGGAGCACCGAGCTGGCAGGGGAGCACGTGAGCAAGGAGGGCTCAGAGCACGTGGTGATCACAGCCCAAATTTCCCGCGGTTCCCCTCGAACACACTGAGGTCTCACCTGCTTCTGCGCAGCAATGCGCTTCTGGTCTCTCTTCCTCCACGCTGGGTCGTGCAGGTGCTGGAAAGTCTCGTATCCAGTCGTGATTCCAGAGGGACGGCGAACCTGGAAGGAGAACAAAGCTACTGGAAAAACTACTGGAAAACCTGCTGTGCCTACTACTGGAATGGGGAGCGCAGAAGGGCTGACCTGGGTGGCTACAGCCAGGGGCCAGGTGGGGAGACAAGGAGATGGACAATCTCAAGCTAGAAGGCCACAGAGCACCCATTACCTGGAGACCGGCTCCTTTGATGCGTCGATAAAACTCGTCGTCCTCCCGTCCCCAGCCCCAGAAGCGGTTGGACATGCCGTTGCACTGAAATGAGATGGGCACTGTACCGGCCGAGGCCTGGTCCGGCACAACTCCACGTGCCACAAAGGAGCAGACACCAGCATCACACGCCCTGAGCACCAGCGCAGCCTTCCCTTTCCCGCCCCGCACCAGTTCAGGCAGCAGGCTCTGTCCCCGAACCATTCTGACTCCTTTCCCCCCTTCCCAAGCGTAGAGCACAAAATGTACAACTGCTCACCAAGACAATGTCATAGCCCCTGCCCCAAACCGGCCGGGATGTCCCACCTGCACGCTCACCATCTCATAGTGCTGCTTGGTGAGCAGCAGGATGCCGCCCACGTAGGTCTTATAGTGGTAGAGCGGGTGCAGCTCCGGGGATGCCACGTGGAAGGGTCCTGCCTCCGGGAAGCCGTAGTCCAGCTGCTCGTTGAGAGGCAGGAGATCGACGTCATGCATCGCGATGTAGTCGGTGTCGTTGCCGCTCTCCAGGAAGCCCACGTTGATCAGGGATGCCCTGTTAAACCTGCCACGGGACTGGGGACTCTCAGCGCCACACGCAGCAGCCCCCAATCCCTTCACATCCCTCTCTCATGCTCCTCAACGCGTAATGTTCGACTGGTCCCCAAAAGGGGACACACACGAACGCGGTCTTCCCCGCCTTCACAGCGCCAGGTGCCACGGCTGCCCGTCCTGAAACCGCACCCCTGCTTCTCCCTCCGCAGGCAGCACACGGAGCCCGAGGCCGGCTGGGGAGCTCCACGGCGCTCGCCGGGGCCGGAGGTTGGTACCGAACAGGGGTGAGCAACCGCGTTTCCAACCACCCTGCAGTGTTTCTTTGCATTTCAGCATCCCCAGATGTTTGTGGCCATGGCCCTGCAACATGGGGGAGAAAGCTGAAACACCTGGGAGTAGGTAATTCTCTTCTCCCTTAGGAAGAGAAGCGAAAAACCGCTTTGTCCTTCTATAAACCCTAGAGCTTGTAAATGCGGGGAGGGCATCATGCCCCAGCCCCGACTCCCCGTTGTCCCGGCC